TGGTGTGGTGGGGTTTTAGATTGGGGGGAAGAATTAGTTGTTCTGTATTGCTAGGGCAGAGTCAGGTTAATGATTTTTGAGGTTGGGTATTAAGTTAGGTTAGGTTAATTTGGTTAGGTTGGGTGGGAATCGTTGGGTGAGGGTTAAGGAGAGGTTAGGTTTAATTTGGGGGGAAATTGTTGGGTGTGGTTATAGGGAAGTTATTAATATATGGGAGGTGGGAGGGGAGTGTTTGGTCTGTTTAGTATGGAGGGATTTCTTTCTCTGAATCTGCGTGGGAGTATGATGTTGTCGAAATAATCCTGCCATTGAGGGTAAGTAGTGAGGAGTGATTCTATTTGTTTGTCACCTAGTTGTCTCCAGTAGATGTTAAGTGGGGGGAGGGAGCTGAGTTCATGTAGATGACTATTTGGGGTGAAGGATGACCAGTGTGTGTTATGGATGAATCTTAGTGCTTTGTTTTGTATGACTTGAAGTTTCTTGGCGTTTGATGGTGGTGCTAGCTGGAGTGTGTTAGGTGCATAAGTCAATAGTGGGCGTATGAGGGCTTTGAATAGGTGTGTTTTGGTTTTGATTGATGCGGTTCTGAATCTGTATATATTCCCGAGTGTTTTGTTTGCGATCGAAGCCTTCGTTTTGGTGTGTAGTGTCATGGTGAGGGTGTCGTTGAATGTGACTCCTAGGATTGTGTTTGTTCGTTTGACAGTTATGGGTGAAGGGTAGTCGATGTAGTGGTTTAGGTAAATGTGACGTGGTTGGCGTCTTTTGGTGCCGAAGTAGGTGATTTGTGCTTTGTTCGGGTTGGTTTGTATTAGCCATCGGAGTTCCCATTGTGTAACTTGTTCTAGCTCCCTGTGTGCTTTGTCTGTTAGGTGATCAAGGCTAGTGGAGTGTCTGACTAGTTGGGTTACATCGTCGGCGTATTGTATTGTCAGAGAGTCGATGTATAAGGGGTCGGGTAAGTCGTTTGTGTAAAGAATGTATAGTGTTGGGGACAGGACTGATCCTTGTGGGACTCCTGCTTGCAGTGTGAAGTGGTCAGAGTAGGACTGGGGGAAGTGGGCCGACGAGAGGCGCACCTCGACCCCCCATGACTTGAGGAAATATGTCATCTCAAGGCTGGCAAGGTTGGTACCTCCATCCGTGGAGATCTGCTCAGGTACCCCCCACCTCGTGAAGTAGGCCCGCAGACTGGCGATGATTTTTCCAGAGGTGGCCTCGTTGGGGAAGTGGGCGATCTCCAGCCAACCTGTCAGTCGGTCAGCATATGCTAGGTACGTGTTTGTTGAAAGGGATAGTCTGGCGCTGGGGTCAGAATCAACGACTCCGGAGGCTGGAAAGGGGCGTGGGTCTCGCAAGCAGGTCACCCTTCATGCCAGGCCAATTGACAGACTACCGGGCCCGCCTGAGCATTGAGTCGAGGCCCTGGTGCCCCACATGTAGGTTAACGGCGACCCGGTGGCGGAGGGAGTCGGGGATGACAAGGCGCACGCAGCCCTGGTCAAAGGTGTAGGTGACCAAACCCCTGACCACAGCCAACCTGTCCCTCACCGAGAAGTACGGGCGCAGACAGGCCACCTCCTGCAGGACTTGTGGGGGTGCCAGTCGCCCGCCAGCACCCTCGACACTAGAATCTGGTACACTGGGTCGTCCGCAGCCGCTTTGCACACTGTGTTTTCGTCCATAGTGATGCACCCATCCTGATCCAGTGCTGCGATTGTGACTGCACACACTGCAGCGCACAGGTCCTCCTCTTGGTCCATGTCCTCCGCATCAGGCGCCGCCCTGAGGGAGGGGAAGCAGGATAGGGCGTCAGCTGCACAGTTCCGCTTCCCTGGCAAGTATTTGACCGTGAATCGGTACTGCAGGGTCTTCTCCTTGAGCCTGAACAGGCGCGGATTCGCCACATCCGTGAGGGCTCTGTCCCCTAGCAAGCCAACTAAGGGGCGGTGGTCCGTCACCAGAATGAGGTTCGGGCAGCCAAGGAGGAACAGCCTGGCCTTGTGCAGGCACCACACCACAGCCAGGGCCTCCCCTTCTACTGCAGCATAACCGGCCTCGGCCGTGCTCAGATGTCGGCTACCACACAGAGCCAACCGCCACCCTCCTCTGCGGCAGAAGGGCGTCTCTGGAGAGGCACAGACACAGTATTGTTGCAGGACGACGAAGCCGATGCCCTCCCTGCTCCAATCAGTGACAGCTGCCGTAGGCCTGGATTTGTCGTAGTACACCAAGCCGTCTCTGGCCAACTGACAGATGGTGTCCTGGGCCTGGCGAAACTTGAGCCGCAGCTGGTCGTCCCAATACACCTGCTTGCCCACTGGCTTCTTGAGGAGCTCACGGAAGGGCTCCATCACAGGTGCAGTGGCAAGGAAGGGAGCCAACTGGTTAACCAAGCCATGCCAGGACCTGATGTCAGTGATTGATGGCTGATCCGGCATGGGGAAGTCTTTGATGGCTGACAGACGTTGGGCAGTGGGCTGGTAGAGGTCCCACCCCAGGAGGAAACCCACAAACTCGGCTTCTCTCCTGCAGAACAAGAACTTTTCTGGTTTCAGCGTGATACCTGTGCGAGCGCAGGTCTCCAGAAAATCATAAGTGTGCCAGAACGCCCCCTTCACACTGGAGTCATAGAGGAGAGTGTCATCCACGCACTTGTACTTGCGGGGCACATCCTGAATAGCGTCGTCAAACCTCTTGGTGTAAGCATCTGACGCTGAGCAATGTCCCATGGGCGTCCTGCAGTATCGAAAACGGCCCCACGGCGTGATGAATGTGGTCAGGCGTCTACTCTCCTCCTCCAACTCCACTTGATGAAATCCCCAAAAGGCATCGGCGACGGTTTTGAATGAGTGCACTGGCACCCCAGACACCATGTCGAATGGTGCAGGTGTGTGGTGCATCTCCCTCAGACAGCTTGCATTGAGGCGTTGGAAGTCCACACAGTGCGCCTGGGCTGACCGTTTTTCTTGGCCACCACGACCATCCTGGCGCACCACTCCGTAGCCTCACCAGCAGGCACTGGCTGGATGACGCCTCTCCTGACGTCCTCTTCCAACTGGTCCTTCACCTCCGCTTCCCAGTGTTTCGGAACGGGAGCGGGTGTGTGACAGGCGTAGGGGGTCGTGCCGGGCGTCAGGTGGATACGGTGAGGGGGACCAGTCATGACTGGCAGTGGGGACCTGCTGGTGTTGAATGCGGTAGACGAAAAGTGCGTGAGTAGCCATTCCTCCCGCCTGGCCACATTCTCCTCCAAAGGAGGCAAGGGTATCTCAACTGGCCTCGGCGGGAAACGGCTGCTCTCAGGTAAAGGGTTCGGAGGTAGATCGTCGGCAGTGTGCCGCTCCCCTCCATCGCTCACGGCAGCCACAGCACGTCTATGGAGCGGGAAGTCGACAGGCACCAAGTTGAAGCACTTGCAGGCCTCCAATGACAGATAGAGGGCCTTGGCTGTCTGCACGAAGTAGACCTCCTGGACGGTGGACCCCTCGTCCACACCGAGGCGGCAGGGGGCGGACCCCAGACACTTGAGCTGTTTGTTTGCCACGTCCCTTAGGCCATTACGGGCCCGAAGTTGCCCCGGACACAAACCGATGTCCCGGAGCAGGGATGCGCCCGTGTCAGCTACAGCCAGCACAGGGGTGGCGGGGGAATTGCCCCCTGCCTGGGACATGAACACTTGTAACCTGGGGTGGCGGGATAGCTGGGCTGTTGCCACTGTAACAGCGCCTGACACATCCACAGGAGCACTTAGGGCTGACTTACTCCTACAACACCTTTTGAAGTGACCAACCTTACAGCAATTGCGACATGTAGCCCCACTTGCAGGGCACTTACTTGTACCAGAGGCATGTGACATGCCGCAGTTACCACAGTGCACGCGATTGGGGTGTCCAGGTCGGGCGGCAGCTACCTCGGACTCACCGGTGACGTCATCACCAATCCCCACTGCCTCCGCGGCTGTTCCCACCACTGCCTGGCCAGACGTACGACACAATACACCAGCATCTCTCACTGCTGCCTCAAATAACATGCATTTGTTTCTAAGCACTTCAACACTATTATAACTAGAGTACCCCTGGAAAATTTCCCTTTTCAACACTGGGTTACTCAGGCCCACCATAACTTTACATAATAGCATGTACTCAGAGAGGTCGTTATCACAGGTGGGACATTTAAATTCACACTCCACTGCCTCTGCGAAGCATCGTTGAAAATACCTTTTCATGGGCTCCTCTTCACCTTGTTTGCTGTTGAAAAACTCGTTCCATTTCACAGCTTGGTTTGAAGATTGAAGAACCATTCCACTGATGGCGTCCAGGGCTTCTTTGGGCGAGAGCTGCTCCCACTGACCGCTGGGGTATCTCGAGTCAATCACCCTTTGGAGTGCAGGGACGCAGTTCAGGCGAATGTGGAGTGTGGACACCAGTTGTGACCACCCGTTCAACAGCACCCATGACTCCATGGACCGCCTCCATGTCCTAAACGCAGCTGCTGGCATTTCTGCCTCACACTTCTCTGGTGCGACAGCTGCTGAGGGCTTCATGACCGGCATAGAAGCATGACCACCGCCAGCAACTAGAGACGCCATCTGAGCCATCAATGCACTCACGGCTTGCTGCTGGGTGCGCGTGGTGTTCCCAGCCGGTGTAGAGAAGCCCTGGCGTCCCCTTGAGGGCGTCGAGAATCGTGGACGTGTAGGGGCCATGTCAGCGTTCTTATCAGGGCTGTAATGGCGTGTCGGGCCCCGACATATCCTACTCACTGCGCCATGTGAGAGGTTGGAGTCATAGACCACGTTCTTTGTAGACTTTATTCTAACAACGTCAGCTGGTGACTGGCAACCAGGCGCTGCCAAAGACAAGCCCCCATCTCAACATAGGAAAACATATCATACGATGGTACAATCTTACAGTATACAATTTATCTAGACCTTGTATTACGAAGGCTATTAATATTGCGTTACAGAATTACTGCCTGTAGAATGCCTCGGTCTCACAGATTACAGGTCGGAGAGTGTTGCAGCGCGAATCGTGCCACCCGACGCCTAAGCTGTTCACCACAGCCAGGCACTGCTCGTTACCGTCTGCGTTGTCTGGTTGACTTCTTCCAAGTCTGGCCAAGTAAAGAAAAAAGTTAGATGGTCAATATACACGAGCCATGGACACAGAAGTTCAGCTTCTGTTAACAAGTTCAAAGGGACTCAAGTTAATTTTATGTAAAGTCTAAAAGTCTAGAGAAGTCTTAACACACACAAAAAAAGTTTATATCCATTAGGCAAATATTAAATAAAGATGGTTTGTGTTTATTGAAGGATACCGACTAACCTGCCGGTGTTAGACCAGTTTGTGTAACCCGTGGAGACACCCGTCTCCCAGTACCACTGGTAAGAGCCCAACTTACTGCCGCTTGTCCAGATGTCCCTCATTTGGTCTGTAGAAATATATTTTAAACGATACCAATGTTTGTTAACTGTGAAGAAATAATTTTAGAAAACGATCGAAAGCATATACACAGTTACTATTTCAATAGCAGAAATCCCACGATAACAGTTGAGGCAACACTCACATGTTCTAAGAACTCCAGCCACGAAGTTGTCTTCGTTCGGGTGCTCTATACTAACGGCCTGGAAGCCGTTGCCCAGCCTCTGACAATGATGGCTGGCATCGTACCATGTGTAGGATCGGCCGCCATTATGGCACCAGGAGAAGTGGTATGCCCTACCCTGGAACACCTCATCGACCTGTAAAAGGAAGAGATGCGCAGTTCATGAAGGCAAGATCTTACTTTACAGTTATAAAAAAGTATATTTAAGAACCCTGAAGGGCTCGTGATCTTCAATTAGGAGGAAACTATCAAACAATTTAAGATTTCAAATATTCATTACAGTATCATCAAATAGTCAGCAGCGTATCGTCATAAGTAGTTAGGGGGGGTTAATTTATTAACTTAAATTACCAAGTGCATACTGTAGAAGTTACTATAGGTCTGCGAGCATGATCACAAAACCGATTCTGTGGCAAGGTGGTCTGCTGGGATAAGAAACGAGTTGGTTAATTTGACTTGAAAGGAATTGTCCTAGACGTTGACCAGGGGAAGGCTGGTCCGAAGTGAAGACTTGTCCTAGACGTTGGCCAAGGGAAGACTGGCCCAAAGTGAAAACTTGCCCTAGACGTCGGCCCTGTGGAGTCTGGCCTTAAGGCCTTTGGGAGGAAGAACTTGTAGACCTCAACACGCCCGGTGATCTAACCATGATATGGTCGCCATCACTTCCCACACCAAAAATAACAGGTGTTCCCTCATTCTTGACGTATAACTCCTCGGCCCAGACGGCAGTCGTTAACACGAAGAGGATTATTGCCTTCATCTAAAGGAAGAATTAGGATTTGGCGTATTAGGTTTACTATAAAGCAGGACAAGACAAAATTAGGGCAAGAGCAGTACCCCCCTAAAAAAAAAAAAGTAAAATATCAACAAAACTTACTATGAACAATGGAGTTGTTTCGGTGGAATGCAGCACACTGAAAACGCAAATCGAATCGAAAAATGCAAGTGACAGGGGGGAAGGAGGTTCAGGGGAAGGATATAGGGAGGATAGAAGTGAATTTTAGAAGGAGAGAACAGGTGCAGTGGCTAAACACCGCTTGCGTGAGGGGGTAGGCAATGTGCCCGGTAGGTGCAACAATCACAATCAGGACGAGGCAGAGGGAGGGCAGGAGCAGGACCAGGCAAGCAAAGGGCCAACGCGGGTGCTCTGGTTGTCGTCTTACCCTAGGCAGTGTTGGCAAAGTGGAGGAAGAACCGCCCCGCCACGGCGGCGGCGCAAGCCGAGAAGCGCAGGTGGACGGACGCATAGGCAACACACGATCAAAGTAACAGAGAAGGTGAAAAAATGGAAATGTAGCTTGATGGTTACAAGTGTTCCCTAAAGAATGCAGTGATGGGCATACGGCTCACACAGTCAGACTGAGACTGCCTTGCCATATGGCGGCCTCGGGGCAATGTTGCCACATAACACGTGCAGTGTTGCCACGTAATTATATACATAGGTGCTACTCGGCACAGTAGCTTATATACAAGGTTCCTACCCGGCACAGTAGCTTAGATACATAACCTACATCTCCCTCCCCCCTCACGCTCATAGTCTTTGTCTTGAGCGGACTTCTTAGTCCTAAGTCGCTCTGAGCGTCGAGGTGCACTGTGGGGCGGATCCTCGTGAGGTGTAGGTGACTCGTCCTCGGTCAGGGGGCCAGCAGCAGGGGTGGGACTGGCCGGAGGAAGCGGCGGTTCCTCCACCAGACACGGCCACTCGGCATCCTGACCTTGTAGTCCCGCGACCGGCCGACGCCCATCACTATGCCCACCTTGTCCCAACGTGTCGTCGTCGGGTCCTGGACGCGGGCAAGGGCACCAATCTCCAGTGGCTGAAGAGGGCGGGCACGGTCGTCATACCGAGCCTTGGCGTCCTGGGCACGTGAAGCGGCGCGGCGGTCGCAGCTCTCGGCTCTGGTCTGCCACTCCTTCGCAAAGGCCTTGGTGTGTGCAGGAACGCAAGAGCGGAGAGGGTGACCATACAGGATCTGGGCAGGGGAGCGCCCTGTGTGGGTGGGAGTATTATGTAACTCCAGGAGTCCTTTGTCAAACGCCTCACAGTCTATGTTGCCTGAAGGGGCCACCTTGAGGATGAGGTGCTTGACTGTCTTGACTGCAGCCTCAGCATGGCCGTTTGACTGTGGGTAGTGGGGTGTTGACACAATGTGGCGGACTCCCCAACGCTCCAGGAATCCTGTGAAGTCCCGGCTGGTGAACTGTGGCCCACCGTCCGTCCGCAGACGTACGGGGACGCCCAGGTCACGAAAGAGGTGCCGGAAGTGGCGAATGGTGGCCACGAACGTCGTGTCCGAGCCACAGATTACCACCACAGGCCAGCCAGAAAGTCGGTCGGCGACAACTAGGAAATGTTTCCCAGCTGTGCTGAAGAAATCAGCCGACACGGACTCGAAGGGCCTGGTGGGTTCGTCGTCGCACAAGAGGGGCTCCTGCTGTTGACTGGGCTGCATGATCTGGCACGGCTCACAGGCACGGACCGTATTGCCGATATCCGCGTCAATGCCGGGCCAGTACACAGCCTGCCTTGCGCGGCGCTTGGTGGCCTCTGCTCCACGATGGCTGTCGTGTAAGCGGGCCAGAACGCGACGACGGAGAGCTGCAGGGACGACCACATGGGCACCGTACAGGACGAGGACCCCATCTGCGTAGAGGTCCTCACGTATCTTCCAATACGGGCGTAGGGCGTTGTGGAGGTCAAAACGGTCGCGAGGGAACTCAGTCCTCACACTCTCCAAGAGCTGAGTGTAGGAGGGGTCGTCGCGTGCCGCGGTCCGTAGTTCCTCAAGGGCCAGATCGCTGTCGGGTGGAGACACTGAGGCCTGGGTGCTGGCGAGGGACTGTACGGCCTGCAAGGTGACGATATTGCTGACGGAGAAACCGGCCTCGATGCTGAGCATCTCGTCTTCAGGTGTAGGGCGGCTGACTGGGGAGCGGGAGAGGGCATCCGGGATGCACAACTCCTTACCTGCGCGCCAAGCCGCGGTGAAGACGAAGGCCAAAATCTTCTCCTTCAGGCGCTGGAGGCGGGGATTCTCGATGGCGTCCAGCGAATAGTGATTAAGAATGGGGACCAAGGGCCTGTGGTCTGTGATGAGGTCGAAGTGCTGTAGGCCAATCAAGTAAAACTTGCACTTCGATAAGGCCCATACCACTGCCAGCAGCTCCAGCTCGATGGTAGCGTAGCGAAGCGAGACTCAGCATCGGTGAGGAAGCGAGAGCCACACTGTACGAGCTGGCACTTTCCTCCACCGTGATCCTGGAGAAGGGCGTAACCAACCCCGTACAGGCGCGAGGCATCTGTCTGGAGGACGGTGGGGAGCGCTGGGTCGAAAGTAACGAGGATAGGTGGACTTGACAGGGCCACCTTCACCTTATGAAAGGCGAGGTCGTGGTCAGGGGTCCACGTGAACGTCCTCTTGGGGCTCATCAGGGGGCGGAGAGGCCCGGCAGCAGCGGAGACGTCAGGAGAAAATTCTGCCAGCTGGTTCACCAGGCCCATGAAAGACCTGAGATCTGTAAGGTTGGCAGGTTTTGCAAAGTCCGCTATGGCGCGAACTTTCTCCGGGTCTGCAGCAATGCCATCCCTTGAGAGTCGGTAGCCACAGAAAGACACTGCAGGTGCAGCCAAGACGAACTTCTCGGCATTCAGAGTGATGCCGTGCATCCTACACCTGGTCAGTACCTCGTCGATGCGGCGAAGGTGCATCAGGTAGTCCTCATCGTAGAGGAGGACGTCATCCACTACCTTCACGCAGTTGGTCACGCCTTGAAGTGCCATGTCACCATGGAGACAGAAGGCGTCCCCCGTAGCAGCGAATCCCATAGGGCCGCGGCAGTAGCGGAAGCGTCCGTAAGGCGTGATGAAAGTGGTCAGTGGCTGATCCTCCTTCTTCAGTGGGATCTGCCAGTAACCACAGAGGGCGTCCATCGTCGAGAAGTGCCGTACCTACGGATCCACACTCCGTATAGCTGCAAAAGGTGTGGGTGAAGGGTGGGTGGGACGGGACACCTGGCTGTTAAGCTTAGACAAGTCGGTAGTAATCCGCACTCCACTGTTAGTCTTAGCCACAGCGACTAGAGGGTGGCACCAAGGGGATGGGTCGTCACCAACGGGTACGATGACACCCTGGGCCACCATGGAATCCAGTTCCTTCTTGACTGAATCCCTGAAGGCGAGAGGAATCAACCGGGGAGTGTGTATGGCAAACGGCTGTGCATCTTCCCGCAGGTGTATCCTCATAGGTGGACCCGCCATAACCTTCAGTGGCGCGGTCCGTAGGGCCTCCTTTGTCACCAGCACATCCGAGTACTCCTTCAGGAAGTAGGCCCTTGCGGCTGAAGGAGACGTCTCGCTGTGAAGAGGAAGCAACCGTGACTTGGGTGGAGGCGGGGCGGGAGTGGACGCTTGTTCTGGGCCCCTCCGTTCGGCAGCGCCAGGCGCGTCGCTCGTTGATTCACGCACCCTGCTGGCGGTGTACCGAGCAGCTGGGATCTGCTCGGGAAAGTCTCTGGGCACCACGCCTAACTCCTTGCAGTGCTCCCACGACAACAAGGGTGTAGCGAGAGTAGGCTGCACGTCGATCCATCCGTGACACGATCTGTCGCCATAAGTGATCTCCTCTTGAAAGGAGCCCACAGCATCTGGCATCTGGGAACCGTCAGCATTGTAGTACTGCAGCTAGGGCGGTGGTCCCAGGCCGCGTTTGGTGAGGCCCAGTTTCTGGAGGTGCTTCAACCCAATCACCGTAGTATCAGTGCCAGTGTCCGGTATCACCTCGATGTGACCCGACACATCACCATGTGTGACGGCGACGCGGATGGTAGGGGAAGGGGTAGCCCTGGGGCGTGTGGTCGATTCCACCCTCCTGATGTGACTCCGCTGCTGCTTGGGGCTGCAGGGGCCATCTGGAGGGGGATGCGTGCAAACCACCCCGAGGGAAGTGCGCTGCTTTCCTCCTCGTCTCGGGCTTTTGGGCTTGGGTTGGCGGCAGCACTTGTCATAGTGTCCATAGCGACCGCAGGCCTGACACTTGTGGCCTCGTGCAGGGCACCTGTCTGTGTTAGACCAGTGGCCTTTACGGTCACATCCACGACACAGTGCGTCGGCGGCTGGGCATGTCTTGGAGCC